TGAGGTGGCACATGAGTACTGCATAGCCTTTCTCTGCGTCCGTGGGCAGAGACAGACTTAATGTGAATATGTGGTGTGTAAGCATGACAGCTCTCTATAGTCTAATTAATTTCTTACAAACTGAAAACATCTACATTCTTCGCCAGTGGTAATAGAGCTTTTTATTATTATTGTTTAGAAATAAGTATAACTTTGAGTTTCATTAAAACCAAATGTTTAATTGCATTCATGGATATCAGATTTATTGATTTACTTAACTTTCCCCATATAGTACAGCAGAATAATATATCACAGTTTCATATAATGCTGTCCTAGCCAAGTTTTACTTCAGCATCACATTTTCTCAGACAAGTATGCATTGATGGTTTATGTTGGCAGGGCCTTTGCTTCTGCTGACAAGTTGGAAAAGAAAAATCCCATTTATATTTTGAGATTTCCTAAAGCCTGTTGATTTATGAAATACGACTGGCCTTGCATTAGGTTTTGTTTTGGTTTTTCTTTTTAAGAGAAAAAATACCACATTTTACTTTATCAATGATTTAAATAGTGGAATTATTCCATCAAATTACACTTCCCTAATTGAGAGATTCCTGGCAAGTTAAACAGCAATTAATAACAAATTAATTATTTAAGTTATATTTTAATTTCTTTTTCTCTGAGATGGAGGGAGTCGTCCCATCATAAGCCATCTCATATACACATTCCCCATGCGTCCATATGGCATATAATGGCATATAGTAGGCAAATACCAGCGAGTCGTTCGTACTTAGAGGTGATTAGCAGCAATGTGGATGTGGTTTATTTGGTGCTGACCACCAGACATGAGCAGGGTTCAAACCCTGTTGAGGGCTAGAGTAAAACATTAGCTCAGGCTCAAGACCACACTGAAGCTGCTTCCAGTTGGCTTGGAGCCTGTGAACTGATGTCTGGACATACTCTATGGTATAGATTTTTTTTCCCCCTCCCTCTCTGCTACCAGTGATGAAAAGGACAGCCTGTAGTGTTAGATAGGGGTTGAATTGTCTCTTGTCTTCCTTGCCCAGCACTTTTGCAAGATCTTTCTGACTTCCCAGCATCACATAATTTGGACCTGAGTAAAAGACAGATGCCATGAATTAGATACCTGAAGACCAAAAAATGTATACTTTATATTGCATTTTTCCCAAATATTTATAAGCTTGAGAATTCTGGTAGTCTTTTGCCTGGTAGAGGTAATGGTAGAAATCCCACAGATTTCAGTATAAGTTATTCTTAAAGAATAGCCACTGCTCAAGCACTCACAGAGTTGCTGAAATCCCTTTGGGGTTCCTTGTATAATTTGTGGTTGGGGATCTGTAGTTTAATATACTGTCTATTTGTCACATTGGAAAACATTATATTATTTAACATTAATGCTTCCTGTAAACTGGAAAAGTTGCACCATCTTGTTCTTTGGGGAACACAGGCTGCCTCAGGAGAGTGGGAGGACCACGTTCAAGAGGAAGACACAGAAATGGTGTAGGAGTACCAGAGGCTTTTTTGAAACACCTGACAAAATGGGAGGGAAAAAGTAGTTATGGATTTATTTTATTTGCATCCAGTTCTTAGCACTGAACGACTGGTAGGTATTGTTTACCTAATCCTGCACACATCAAAAAAAGAAAGAAACCATAGCTTTAGAGTAGTTACATTTTTAAGGTGCTGTGCTTGGCACTGATCGATGGGGGGAAAATGCAAGTGTAGAAAAAGAAAATTAGTCAAAAACAGAGAGCTGGCCAAGATAATTCATATTTGATATTCATTATCTTATTACAGATGGTCACAAGCCAGGTGCTGAGATCCTGGCAGCACTCAAAGGATAAGCGTGCATTAAATGAAATGTATATTTTTCTTCATGCCGATCTGCAGAATTTTTGTTGCCATGGGATTGCTTCATATGCAATGGTGGAACTGTTCTTACAAGCTCGTGCTGTCCCTTGGGATTGGAGTCTCAGTGGCAAGTTGGATCGGCTGCCCTGGTTCTGGTGTGCTTGGTAGAAAACAAGATTAATCACTCTGGTTTCTGATCATTTGTCTATATCCTCTGCAGCTAAAGAAAATGAGGTGTGAAGAAATGGGTCTTTAATTATTTTAGGCAGAAGCTGGGTATACAAGGGGTGCATTGGAAACCTGGCTTTGCTGTGCAATGTTTTGGCTATGAACTCTTGACACCAAGATGCTGGCTTCGAAAACTGTTTAAGCCTATATTTTTTTAAGTGAATGTTCTAAGCAGGTTAAAGTTTAACAATAAAAAATAAAACCCTTCATGGTTTTATGTTGGTTTTGAGTTGTCAGTAAAGGAAGATGGTCAGGCTGGCCCATTTCAAACTATGACTAATGGAGTTCTGCCTCCATTGCTGGTTCCAGCTGCCTCCAAAATTAAATGATTAATTGCACAAGGGAAAGACAACAATCCTTATTTGATTGTGCTGATTACAGAGTTGCTGATTATGGGAGTAAAGGGAATATGTTGTCCTAGTTTCCAAAATTCTTCAAGGAATAAGGCAGATCTGAAAATAATTTAGAACCGTAGGGTGTAAGGTTACTGAAATCATGGGGTGACCTGCTCGGAGGTCTCTCATATGTCATGCATGCTATAGTGTATCCTAGCGGTAGCTACAAGGGTTGCTGTGATAAATCACTCCTGCTTTTCCAGCTGTGACCCATCACACACAGCATGCCTGTGCGATGGGTAAATAATATATCTTACCTGATTTGCTAAGGGTACTAAGGAAGCTACAAATGAATTATCAGACCCTGATTCTTGGTTCAGATCAGTAAAGCAGGCTCCTGCAAATGCTGTTGCACAACCATTTTACTATCATGGCTTTCCAGTGTTTTGTTGGTTTTGGGGGGTTTGTTGTTGGTTGTTTGGGGGGTTTTTTTGTGGTGTGTTTTTGTTGTCTTTTCTTTTTTTTTTTTTGTCTTGGACTTCTAGCTGTTCTAGTTAAGAGTAAAAAGGTCATCTGTTGGCTTGGCTGAACTGAGGTTAATGATGTTTTGTAGCAAAACTGTGCAGTCAGCTTGGAATGAAAATTTCAGTTAACTGGTTAGGATGCCAAAGACTTTGAACTTCTTCATCATATCTTCCTAAGAACAGAATAGCCAGGACAGCTTTTTCCTAATAATTTTTCTTTTTATTTTTAAATCAGTATTTATGGTGTCATTAACCTGCTTCTGGGTCCTTCCTCTTTTTCCTTTTTTTCTTTCTTTTAGCTTTCTGCAGAAGAATTGTATAGACACATGTATCAGTCTCACAATCGTTGTAGTATCTTACCTTTGTTGAGTACAGACAGAAATAAAAAAGCAGACACTTCCTATACACCAAAAAGACAGCTGTATAATAGCATATATAGACAATATAGAGCAGTTTAGAGGAGGAACTGAGGAACTGGCTGATTAAAAGTTCCATAGGAATTCTAGGTATGTAGATAATAATTATTACTGCTGAAATTTTGCCAGTGCTTAGTGATTAATGCCTTCATAATTTAAAGACAGGGAAGAAATTAGTAATGCAGTGCACTATTCAGTGTACTGTCTAATTGATGAATGCTTGCAACACCCCATAAGCAAATGCTTATCCCTAGTTTAGGAAAGAGAGATGGGTTTTAAAGAGTGCCTTTCTTTGGTCACACAGTTATCCAACAAAACCTGATGTCCAGCTCGATGCAGGAATTATCTAGGATCCTCCTGGGTGGTTGGCAGTATGTGCTCAGGGTGCAAGTTGTAAGTTTGGCACAAAATATTAATTCACTTTCTCTTACAGTAATTTCTGCCTGAACCCTGTCTGTAAACTGACTTCATGCCTTCTTATGCTGTGCCAGTCCTGATGTACGGTAGAGCAGTCTTCTTACTCTGTGGTCCTCCAGTTGCACTTATGATTACTAATTCCAGTGGTATTGTTGGAGATCTCCTACTTTATGCCATATGGTACCAGAAATCCTGTTCCAGCATGTGCAGACCATGGACATCCATACCACACTGCCTATATGTCTGGGCGGAGCTGAAATAGCAGCCTTATGCCAGCAGCTTGCCTGCAGCAGGAGGAATTGGGAATGACTTTCAACCTTGTGCCAACTGTGTTTTACTGTGGCAGTTCAGAATAATTGGGCAGGACCCAGAACAAGAACCCAAGCATGGCTTTTATTTGCTGAGTTGTCAGGAGTATACGGGGAGAGCAGTTTTTGGTTAGGAGGCAGCACACAAAGCCCAGAATTGGCTACCTGTCTTATGTTCTTCCATATATTCTTGGAGTAAGGTGTTGCATCTCTTCCTAAACCCCTCTTTCCTCTTTGTATACCGTAGTTGCCAGTAATGCAACAAGAGTGCTTTCATTGATGGAAAATCTTTGAGGTCCTCAGAGTGGTATTGCTGTGACAATTATTATTATGAGTAGTAAAATGTGTTAAACAGGCATCCACTGGTTAATATACCTGAGCTTCATTCTGCTGCCCCACTGTGCAACGTTTAATAATCCATTTTGATACTGCAATGCATCTTTCATCTGGCAGAACTGATGCTTGCATCAGCATTTGGTTTAAAAGGCATAATGCCCACTGCAGATCATAATGAATACTTTCACTCTGTACCTTTTCTTACAAAAGCACTTCACCATGCTTCTGTTCATTACTGTTTGCCGTGGGTCCTCAGAAGCACGCACATTGTGACTCCACTCAGCAATGGCAATGCATTACTGGGAGAATGGAAAACACATAAAACACAAATATAATTTTGTTCTATACTACAGCACTTCAGAAGAGGAAAACTTTCTTTGAGCCATTGCTTCTTTTAAAGCATAGTGTGCTGTGATGACAAATATATAGCTTTGATGTTTCCTGCTCCACCAGACCATGGAGCATTGTAAATCAGTGTTTTGCTTTTTCATACTCCATCATTATTAAAACCTGTTGTAACTTTGTTGTAGACAGACATATGTTAGCTCTTGAAAACTATGCATCTTACTCTGTCCTCTTCTGTAACAGGGGAATTATTGCATTTGAAAACAAAAGCTACATTCTGGAGCCATTAGAAGGTGCTACAAGTGAACACAAGATCTACCGAGCAGAGAATTTGAAAATAGCCCCTGGATCTTGTGGCCACCAGCTGGACATCTCTGCCATGAGAACTGATGACAATGACCCATCACACAATTCTCAAGCTGGCAGGGTAGGTGGATGAGTTTTTGGTTTGCTGAGTATGTCTCTGGTAACATTTCCACATTACTGTCCACCACAACTCTGTTGCAAAGAGTCCCTACTGAGCAAAATATTAAACCATATAGTCAACTTCTGTTGACATCATGTGCTTAAGTGCATGCTTAAAATGAAACATGTACTTACACAATTTGCTAAAGCTTTATTGCTTTTTCTTGACCCTGTATGCATAACTTACTTGTTACTTTCTTTTTGGTAATGAGAAAGCACAAAAAAGTTTATGGTTTCATATTAGGGTAATATATTTTGGTTGATGTATGATTACAACAAGAATTTAAGACCCCACAAGAACACTGAGCAGTGTCTGGAAAAGTTCTTGCCTACCCAGGATGGAAGAGAACATGATAGCTGTGAAGCTTTGCTAATATTAGGTTTTGAACCTTTCCATTCTAGTAGGAACGTATCTTATGCAGACAAAACAAATTCTCACCATATTATTTTACAGATGTATTATTGCAATTGTTTCTATGTAGGAAAAAATGCACATAATATGAAATGCATATAGCTAATGGAAACAACAGAAAATTAAATGAGCTAAAAATCAGGAAGAGGAAATACTGTAATAAGTTCATCTGCTTATTGGATGGGGATTGTTGAAAAGACTGGTTTAGGTGTTCCAAAATTATACAATGATACAAATTTGCCCTCAGCATTTATTAAATGTCACGTATTGGAATTTATACTTACATGTACTACTAAGCCTTTGCATCAAGTTAATTGTTAAGGAAAGCGACCTAAATGGCATTCCTAGATATTATTTTTGTAGTGGAATTAAATTATTTTACATTTTAGGAATATTAAATATTACATCTAATGCATTAGCCTTTACATATACCATTTTCTGGGCTAAGCATATTTCTGAAAATATGTGTAGGTTGAAAACATTGGAAAAACGCTTTTCACAACTTTATTAAGGTTTCCCCAAAGTGTTTGTGACTTTTGACTGAATTTCACTGAGGCAATCAATGTAACACTAGGCAACTGAAATAAAAGGTGTGCGTATAACTAGCTGATACAATCAAAGCAATTTTACTATTACCCTCATGGTTCTCACATTTTGTTGATGGCTTCAACTACATGCCAGAATTCACCTTAAATATCTGAAAAATATTTTTGCTGTGGTTCAGCGGACTTAATTATAAAAACTGTCACCAGTCACATCATATGGATAGGTACTATATATATAATGAGTATGTTGGATACGCTTCTAATGTATGAATTTTGAAAGTTGTCAGATGTAATGTGTGGAGTAAGTTTTCACATTTCAGTGTTGTTATCAGCTAAGTAGACTGTCAGGACGTACTGAATAAAGATGACCTGCAAAATATGGACACATAAGGCTGCACCAAATTATACTGGGTGATGGCAAAAACCAGAAATCCAGTCTCAGGTTTAGGGCAGGACAAAAATTTTGGGTTTCTTGGCAGGTTTGGGGGAAGGTTTTTGTTGGTTTGGTTGGTTGGGTTTTTCCCTGACCCATCACTCAAGTACCTACACTAAACGCTTATTGAGCAGAGCCGAAACGTGAGATCGATATAACACAAAGTTAGACTAGCCTTTGGGTTAGATTTAAATACAGATAAATGATGGGACAAACACAGTAGACTCAGCTTCCCAGATCCAAACACCAGATTTAATAGAGCAAGTCAGATAATGTAGCAGATGTGTGCAGACACGTTTTGCCCCATCGGAGCTGGGTCTCTGCTAATACTGGGTCATTTCATAACTCAGTGGACCCTCAAATTGCAGCAGGGAGTGTGTTTTCCAGTTGAGCTCCATTGAGATAGGATCCTACAGAAAGCAAGCTGATGTGTAAGACAGGCCCTACAGCATGGCTTTTTCTCTGTAGCCTCACGAAATTGCCATTTTGGTGGTGCTGGTGGACCACAGATCAGGCAGGTGAGCCATTTGGGGTGAGTGGATCACGGAGAAAGAGAGTGGCTGCAAGATTGCAGTGGGAATCCGAGCCATGAATATTCCCAGGTAGGGGAGCATGAGGAAGGGCTACAGCGACATGGGATAGAGGTTTTGTGATAGGATCAGGTATGGTGGAAACAGGGGAGAAAGGCAGAGGTCAATGGAACAAAGCGTATTGTCTCCCATCATGTATATCTATCATGGCTGTATTGTTGACTCTTCATTTTAATTCCGAAGGATTAACTCAGGCAATGGGTTGTGCATTGATGCAGTTGGCTGCAGAAAGCAAGCTGAAAAAGTCTTAATTAGGTACATTCTATAAATAAATCCAAGGAATGCACATAGCCTTTGGGCAAATCACAGGAATGGATTCATTACGCTAGTCAGTCACCAGAGGCTTACATGGTTATACCCTGCTAGCCAACTTCTCTCAGGCTAACTTTCTCCAGTCCAAACAGTTTTACTCTTGGTAAAAAGTAAATGGTTTAAACTGACTGATGTAACAGAGCTCTTCTTATATCTTTGTACCTGGATTTTCATATCTCATCTTTTACTCTTCATTTGGAAGACTAGAAGGACCTTGGGGCTGCATCTCTGATGAGGACTGCATAATAAATTTCAGGTTTCTGTTAGACTTTTAGTGTCTGAGAGATCAATTCCATCACAAACAAAATCCCTATGGTCATTTGCCTTACGTGGCATCTCACTCATGTCTGTTATATTTTGCAGAGAGGTAAATCGAGCTCTGCCAGAGCATTGTAGGCTCAGCTGAAGTCTACTGTGGCATGGCAGGCCCTTTGTATCGCATCTGCTGATGTTACAGGAGCAGGACACGATGACGCCTTGGTGTCCTGGTTCCCCACCAGCATATCGCCAAGCACTGCTCATGACCTGTGTGGCAGATGAGACATGGGCATGTGCACCAAGTCTCTGCACACACCGTGACCCCATGGTGGTGACAGTTGCCGCCAGTGGAGCACAAAGTGACAGAGAACCCCAATACGAGGAGAAAGTTGTAAGAATATCTACCTGAGCTCATTTGCCAGACCCCCTAATAAGCGTAATCCTGTGAAGTGTTTATATCATCAATGTTTAGTTCATTAATGATAGCTTCTACTGCTTTCTCAGTTCATAAATACTGTCCAAATGGAACTTAATTATTTTCCAGTTATTGTAGTTTGAAGGCTGTGTAACACTATTAAATATGAGTTTGAAAGTCAGAGTTACTACAATTCACATCTGCCACTTTCCTCTAAAGACAATGCTGCTTGCAAAACATTCAGAATCATTAATCTGCAGATAACAAAGAGGAACACTTTGGTGATGTGAAGAAAACCTTGTGAAATTTGGCTGGAAGGTGATGTCCAGCACTGACTTTTAGCTTAGGGGATCACACAGTTTGCCTTGGAACAGTTTGCTTTGGAAAGCTTTAGTCCTTTAGTCATGTTTTAGGTTATAGAGCTTTAGTTTAGTTCAAGACATCACGGTCATTAATAGGTCATACATCTGCTTAAGCTCCTTAAGTTCTGGCACGAAGATCAGACATACTGCTGAGACCTTTTTTCCCTGTCTTATTCCAGAAACAAGGGAGAAATGATAGAATAGATGCTCAGCTGCTGTAAATCACAGAACTTTTACAGGCATTAATAGGTCATGTAAATTTAGGGTAGCAGAGGAACTGTGCTGTGATTAGTTCTATTACAAAATAATTTCATTTTCTTCAGTGATCTTTGTGCAGCTAAATATTACGATTCTTTTAGACCTGCATTTAGAACTGCAAGTAGCATTACCAGCTGTTTTCTATGAACATACAGATACAAAATTAAATGTATGCCTTCCGTTTTTAGAGTATGAGTTTACTTTCTGACACTGACAGTTCACTCTGGATTTTTCTTCCTACATAATTTATCAGTTGACCACTTGACCTCTTCTCTACTTCACTCAATATCCCTTTATCTCTCATTTTTCTTAGTAGCCAGTTTGTCTATTGTGTGAAATGTTTGCTAAAAGGCATCTCCTCATTTCTTTAAATGTGCCTTGGAAATAGCAAAGGTCTTTCTGCTAGAGATGATATTCTCCTGCGAGGAAAGATAACTCAAACGTTTCAGCTGCAGAAAGCTGAAAGGTTGAGAGAGACTTTTCCTGCTTGCTGTGATCAAATCCTGGGGTTTTTTTTGTAAGTACCACATAGTCTGTCTCTGTTGTGGTGGATAAAAGGAAAATTTCTATGAGGAGAAGGAATACAATACAAATTTGTATGTAGTGAAATCTTTGGAAATCTGAGATGTTGTGTATCTCCTCTTGCAAACACTTTGTTGGCCTCAGGGAGCGCTGGTTCCAAGGGTCGCTTATTGCAAAAACAAAATACTATTTGCATCTTTTTTGGCAGTACAAGAGAGAGACTCTGAAGACAACAAAGTATGTGGAGCTTGTTATTGTGGCAGATAATCGTGAGGTAAGAAACTTAAAACTAAAAAGTTACGGGAAGCACGGGTGGGAAACAGGTAGCTCAGGTCAGCTTCGATGCTATTGCAAGTAATCTGCTTCAGAGTAATATGGTGGTTTTCAAAAGTAAAGCTTCTTCCCTAATTAGGGCTAAGCAGTGGAAGGCACGATTAACACAGGGCAACACTCATAGCTGGTTGTAAAAGTTTCTTGCAATACTTCATAAGGAATTTGACTCTCAGATAATTGGGATATCTGGCAGTAATTCAAGAATACACAAATACTAATTCGCTGCCCAGGGTCTCCTTGGGCTAGTTAAGTTTCATTGCCATCGACTCTGCCCTCGGTGGGACCGTCACTGTTTGGAAGACACCGTAGGATCCTGCACTGGCTTTTGAAGCGGTACTTTACCATCACCTTGCAGGAAACACGACTGCCTTCCTGATGGTTTGCAAAGAGACCCTCAAAGAGAGTAGCCAGAACTGGCTGTAGAAATGTTCCAGTGAGTTGAATGGCAGCCAAAGATCTTGGTTTGAATTGTTTTGCTACTTAGATTTTTTTTTTTTTTTTTGGTCTCCTTGAACATTGCCAGTTAGGGAATAACAATGACTCTGCCGAAACAGCTAACAGAAGAGCCTTTTCTTTTTCACAAAACATCAGTCCCAGAAAGATCACTAGGTAAGACATAGGGATTTTAAAACTTTTTGTCAGAACTGTCCCATAGCCTGTGCTTATTCTGAGGCAGATCCTGGTCCCATGAAGCCAACAGGAGTGTGCCTTTGGTTACACTGTGTAATCCCCAGGCATCACCAACGGTGCTGGCAGAGCAGGGGGGCTGTTGAGGGGAACCTGTGGTATTTTTGCTGCTAGTACATTGATCCTTTACATTCTCAGTTTCAGAGACAAGGCAAGGATGTGGAAAAAATTAAGCAGAGGCTGATAGAAATTGCAAACTATGTTGATAAGGTAAGAACATGAGCATTATTTTGCTTTTTCAAATCTTACTATGCTTTCTGAAGGACGTTGCTGTGAAATCTATGTTTCTTCTACTAGTAAATTCAGAAAGCCGCCATGCTCAGATCAGCAGCTTTCACAACCTTTGCTGCATCTCCTTATCCACCCACCTTTTCAAGGAGCTAGCCCTGCTGCTTTCCTAATTCTCCGGTGTTTCAGGGCAATGCTTCTCTCCAACCAGTAAAACCAAAAAAGTAAACTTAAACCTTTCGTATGCCCTTCAACATACTAAGCTGTGAGCTCTGCTCTGCTATATATGGGATGCATGTATCTACTATTCCTACAGAGATGTACAATTTGACCCTAGGATTTTATTAACCTGGGAAGAGGGTGAGCATGACCACATATAGAACAGCCCATAGAAAAAGGATTATTTTGAGGAGGAATTTGGAGAGCAAAGTCCTCTGCAGCAGCAAGAGATCGTCCAACTGTAAGGCCAACAAAAGGCCTGTGAAGACACGGTCAATAAGACATACAGCCCAAGGAAGGTGGCAGAATTAAAAATATGCAGTGCTTAAGGAAACAGAAGTTGATGGCTGAGTGAGAGCAATAAGAAAGAGATATGCACTGTATTTTTTTGTATTTGAAGTAATTTCTTGACGTAAACATTAAATGCTAACAGCCCTCTACAGTGTTTTTTTGAACAAATTAAAGTTTATTTTTGTTGTGCTGTATGGCCAGAAAAAATCAGGAGTCCAGTAGTGAAATTAAAACTGAGGGAGTCTTAATTTAGCTGAGAACTTATCAAGTGATACTTCAAGGGCAATAACTCCAGGAGAAGCATTCTTGATTAAAAACAGGCTGCTGAAGACACCTCCACCTCTTCCATAATTGTCTTGCTGACTTATTACTGGAGGACAGGTGTTTATATGTTACCTGCTGAAAATTAATTTTGCATGTTATAATATATTTTTTTTCATGCTTAATTTATGCTCAGCAAATGCCAATGTTATCCGAATGACTGTAATGCATATAAACAAGAGAAAGATCTAGTATATGCTTTTCTTAGACTGTCAGCCAAATCTGGGCTGGATCGATCCTTGAATCCTTCTTCACATTAGTCTCCCATCAGAATTGTTATCTCTGCTCCATTGCTAATGCTGCTCTGGCTCCCCTCTTATAGCAACTGTGGCATTTACCGGTGGGATGATAGCGTAGGCCCTGGAGAAGAGACCGTTTAAGCCTCTGCAAGAAAGGTTCATATGCACATTATGCTTCTGTTGAAATCTTTTAATCCAATGTGATCTAAAATGGGGTTTAGAGACATATTTCTATTTTTCTTTTCTCATTAGTTCTATAGGCCACTAAATATTCGAGTAGCCCTGGTCGGAGTGGAAGTATGGAATGACATGGATAAGTGCTCTATTTCTCAAGACCCTTTCACCAGCCTCCATGAGTTTCTGGACTGGAGAAAGCTAAAACTACTACCTCGTAAACCCCATGACAATGCACAGCTGATAAGGTAGACTTCACACTGTGTTTAATATCGGCCGGGATTCCAGTGGTTTGAGAATAGCTGTACTGAATTCTTCCCCAGTTGCTAAGCTGTTGGGAGGAACGTCTGTGCTCCAGAGGGTTTGTCTTTCCCCTCTGCAAACATCAAACATCAAAGTGTTTTGCTGAGCCCTTCAGCAGCTTCAGATGAATTTCCTTCCACAGCTCTGCAACAGCCCTGGTACTTGTAGGCCTTTCCTGAATACAACTCACGTAGAAGTGCAGATGTGTAATAAGCTGGTAAATACTTTGGGTATGAATTTACAAGCAGTTTAAGCTGTCTAATTTTTTAGAGGGCACTCCTGCCCTCACCCCAAAAGTAGAGCTAATGGGGCACTATGTGAAGCCTGTTTGTTAGTAGAAAGACCTCAGTAAAATTTAAAATGCAGTCTAAATTGGACAATTCATTTGCATTTGTGGCTTAAAAATTAAATCATACCCATCTTTTACCCTGCTGCTGTTTCCTGGATTAAAGTAATTGACTAAATATGCTCAAAGTAAAAGCACTCTTAAAAACAAAGTAAGAAACACCTCTTTCTTGAACCAGGTATCACTTTGATCAATGAACCATTCTTTATACTATACAGGTAAACATACCTGACATCTTAGTAATTAAAAGGAGCTCTTTACTCGTTACGTAGATATTCTTACATTTTCTGTGTAAGAATAGCGTGAGCCCTTCCAAACTGTCCCTCATGAGAGATTTGATTGCTCTCTCTCTATAATAATACTTTGTTTGGAATGATTACATTCTAAACTGTGTATTATAACAAGTAGCATATAAACTTCCCTCTGCATTGAAATAACCCTTCTTTAAACTAGACACATCATTTTTTTTTTTTGTATTTCTATTCCCTAACTTCAGTCAAAGCCCAAAGGACAGTGATCAAATGGATGTTTTTCATAGCAGGGATGCTGTCATCGTCAGTTCGGCAAGTCGGCATGACTAATCTGTGCTTTTCATTGTTTTAAACCTGCAAATGTCTCGAGCTGACACATTTGAAATGGGATCTTTGTTTGAGATTGGCAGAACTACAAGACTGAAAATAATAGGGCGGTGTCTTGGCACTGAATGGTGATACTGTGATTCTTCTCCTTTCCCTCCCTCCTGCAGCGGGGTGTACTTCCAAGGGACTACCATTGGCATGGCGCCCATAATGAGCATGTGCACTGCAGAGCAGTCTGGAGGGGTCGTCATGGTAAGCGGTAAAAGCACAGGACTTGAAAGTGGCCCAACTGTTGCGCCACGATCTCAAGTTTTGTAGTACTGTATTCTGAACCAGAACATCAGCCCCTTTTGTCCCATTCTCAGTCTCAATATTATCTATATCTACATGCACATTGTTTCCATAGTGAAAAAAAAATCAAAATATTGCATTAAAATATAGCATAGCCTCTTTGTAAGAATCCTCTACTCCTAAATATCATTAAATCAGGTGTTGAGGTGCTGTGAAAGATGAGAACCAAAAGATGTATTTGCTATACGCTTGGGTATACTAGTGTTACAGGCAACAACAGTCTATCCTGAATCTTTTATTATATTGATTTTATTCTGTATTTACAGAGTTTTCTGTGTAAGGCCTTATTTTCCATCTTTGCAGCACAGTGGTTTTATTACATTGCCAGACAACAAGAACAAACAATGGCATTTATTCTACCTGAGCCTCTCAAAGATTATTACTGGTAATGCTGTTGTTATATGCTAGGCATGATGAACATAAAAGTAAACACCGTAGCCAGTTTCTGGAAGTGGTTCTGGAGTATTTTCTTTCAGAATTTTTTATTTGTTTGTTTGTTTTTTACTTTTGAACAGTGTTTTGTGCTAAGTGGGGGAAAGAAGTTTTTCATTAACTAAGCTTTGCAATAAAAGATTTTAAATAAAGTTAGATGCGGACTCCCAGAGCTTGGAGGCCACTAACAGGCTCAGCTCGTGACCTCAGGGCTCAACTCCAGAGCTGGAAGCCAGTTAGCCCTAAAAACCTCTTTGATATTCTCCAAGTTCAGCCTGTACGTGCTGAAAACCTTTGTGTTTTCTACAACTTTGTTGAGACTTCCAGCACCTCAGGTGATGTGGTGGTTCTCTCCAGCTCTGTTGGACCCTCAGCTGCAGATGCCTACATAAATGAGATGGGAGCCCAACATTTCAGAGTTTGCATGGTCTCAATACTCCCAGTTCTTCAGAGCTTCGTGGGGCTAACCACTAAGGCTTTTCCCTCAAGACAATCCAGGTAGCGGGGTAATCCCAGAAGCACAGCCCCTTGAAGCTCCTGCATTTCTTTCCATCTTAACTAGCGTCCGAGCTGAGGTTGGTCCACAATGCAGGGCTCCTTTGTGGTCTCATGGACAAGTAGGCAAGAAGCCAAGCTGGGGCCATGTGTGCATTCGTGGAAGATGATGTATAGATGGTTTAGACTGGGAGGATAGATTTACGAGGTGAGCAGGGAAG